AATGACCAGAACAACAGCTAACTTTTCAATAGAAAGAACGGAAAATAGAAGAATAAAATGACATCTTCAAAGTGCTAAAAGGAAATAACTGTCACTCTAGAATTCTATATTCATTGAAAACTCTTCAAAAATGAAGATGAAATAAAGATATTTTCACACTAAGAAAAAACAGAGTAGTCATCATCAATGGTTTTTGTTACGAACAGAGCTTTTCTAAAGGATAGACTAAAGAAAATTCTTTAGAGAGAGAGAAAATAGTCCTGAAAGGAAGCGTGGAAATTCCAATGCAGAACAAAGGAAAGGGTAACTATGAAGATAAATCTGAGATAATACTGACTGAAAAAAGTAATAACAATGATGTCCTGTGAGGATTAAAAATCATGACAGCAACAGAATCAAAAGTGGGAAATGGTAAATGTAGTTAAAATGTTCTAATGTCCTTGCATGGTCTTGGAAGTAGTGAAAGTATTAATTTTACATTAAACTTTAATAAGGCTAGCATCAATATTATATTTTCCTAAGTAATCACTAAAACTATTGTAAAAGAATATGTAACTAACAAGTTACTACAGGAGAAGAAATAGAATAATAAAAATAATTCAAAAGAAGGCCAAAAAAGGAAAGAAAAAAGGAACACAGAAAGGGTGGGATAAATAGAAAATGGATAGCAAGTTGATTGATTTAAACCTAAATTTAATGTAAGTGGGTATTTACATTAAATATTAAAAGATAAATACTCCAATGAAAATATTGTCAAACTGGATTTAAAAATAATTATGTAGAAAGGTTGAAATTAAAAGGATAGAAAAATATATACCATGCAAACACTGATTCAAAGAAAGTTGTGTGGCTATACTTAGTTCAAAGTAGACTTTAAGACAAGAAGCACCGTTAGAGATAAAATAGACATTTCATGATGATAAAGAGTCAATCTCTTAGGAAGATATAATAATTATAAATTTGTATGCATGTATTAACACAGCTTCATAATATATAAACTAAAAATTGACAGAACCAAAAGACAAAATTGACAAATCCACAATTGTAGTGGGATATTTTAACACACCTCCCTCAACAACCTATAGGGCTAGCAGAGAAAAAATTCAGTATGAGTATAGAAAATTTGAACAAAATGATTAACAAACCTGACCTAACAGAGCAAGAATAGACATTCTTTTCAAAGGACATCCTGACCCCCAGAACCTGTGAATATATTATGTCACATGGCAAAGGGAAATAAGCCTGCAGATGGAATTAAGGTTGCTAATCAGATGACCATGAGAGAGGAGGTTAACCTGGATTATCTGGATAGACCCAATGCAATCACAAAGGTCCTTAGATGTGAAAGAGGGAGGCCAAAGAGTCAGTGTCAGAGGGATGCAGGAGGTCTCTAGATGCTGGAAAGGGGAAGGAAACAGTCTCCCCTAGAGCCTCCAGAAGGAACGCAGCCCTGGGGACACTTTGAATTTAGCCCAGTGAGACCCATTTCAGACTTCTGACTCCTGAACTGTAAGATAATAAATTTACATTGTTTTGAGTCACTATTCTTCCAATCTGTTACTTGCAGCTGATCCAATTGCTAACTGATTCCAGGGTGTCCACCATCAGCCATTTTAAACAGCAGGAGCAGTGCATGAAAGGGTGTGGCTGAAAAGTAGGTGTGTCTTGGGAATTGACAAGAGCTGAGTCTGAAGAAGTAGGGTAGGACCCTATCTATCTATTCATTCACTCATACATTAATTCACAAAACATTTACTAAGCACCTAGTCTCTGTTAGATCCTGTGTGGAACACAGGGATGTAGAGATAAATAGGACAAGGTCTTTGCTCTCAAGGAGCTCACAGGGGAAGACAGAGTTAAACTCAAGTACAATCAGGGAGAAGAGCAGTGACAGGAACATGCACCAGATGAGAAGGGGGGGCTCAAAGGACTCTTCTGGCTGCAAGTGATGGAAGCCCAATGTGCACAAGCTTAGACAAAAAGTGTATGGGCTTGTATAGCCAAAAGGAGAGAAGGGCAGAGGGAGAATGTGGCAGAGAGGATGCATGAGCACAGGTAGGACAGTGAGAAATAGCACGGAGTTTGTGGAAAGCCATAAGAGTTGGTATAAAGCACAGGGGAAGGAGCAGTAAGGAGACAGAGGCACCCACAGGCCATACCATGGGGGCCTTGAAGGCCAGGTCACAGCATCTGGATGTCACCTGGTAGGTGATGGGGAACCATGGAGGGAGGGAAAAACTTGGTAAAGAGAGGAATGCAGTGGTGAAATTTGGGTTTTAGAAGGATCACGTTGACTGTGGTACAGAGGATGGGCAAGACTGAGGTCAGGGATTCCCATTAGGAAGTTGTTGCAATGATATAGAAGAGATCATGGTGCTCTGCACATGGGGAGTGCCATGAAGATGGCCAGAAGGGACTGTAACAGGACTCAGTTAGGAGTCAGAATTGGCAGGCTCGTGATTGACTGGAGGTGGGCATTGGTAGGGGAAGTGTGAAGGATAAGATTGCCTGGTTTCTAATGGAGGCAACTGGGTGGGTGGTGGTGCCATTTACCAATATGGGAAACGCAGGGAGAGCAAGTTGGAGGGAGATGATTAATTTAGTTTGGGACAGATTGATTTTGAAGGGCTTGTGGGAGATTCTGGTGGAGATGGCCAGGGGGCAGTTGAATATTTGGGTCTGGAGCTCAAGTGAGAGGCCTAATCTGGAGAGAGAACCATAGGAGCCCTCAGAATTTAGATGAACATTGACAATGGAAACCATGGATGTGGATGAGATCCCTAAGGGACAGTCTTAAGGTAGCAATTCTCAACAAGAGAAGCGTGGGGTGGCATAACTCCCTGTGACAGTGTTTGGAATCACCAGGGGGATTTTCCAAAGCACATACCCAACCCTCAGTTCCAGTAAATACCTTAGAGGGTATGACTGAGGGAAACTCTTGCTGATGAGGAGGTGACCTAGGGTAGGAAGAAACTTGAGACCATTGGTGAGAAGAAAATAGTCAAGGTGAGCACAGGGAGCAAAGAAAGCCCAAGAAGGAGCCAGAAAGGAAGAGAGGTTTGAAGAGATCCAGGATAACGAGGTGCCCCAAGTGTTAGGACAGAGCAGTGATTCTCAACTGTGAGGGCACCCAAGGGTGCTTGTGAAAATTACAGATTCCTGCCCCTCACCATTCTGATGCTGTGGGGCCCTGGAATCTGCATTGTAAAGAGTTCTACAGGCACTACCGAGAATTTCATAAACATGGGTGTGATCGGCAAGTTTACGCCAGCAGAGTGGATGAGTGCAGAGATAAAGACTAAAAGAGTCTCTAGGATTCTGCTCTTCAGGAGGTCACTGGTAACCATGGAAGAGGGAATTTCAGTGGCATCGTGGGAGTGGAAGCCAGATTGCAGTGGGCTGAAGAGTGAATGGGAGGTGCGAAAGAGAAGACAGCAAATGTGGACCCCTTTTGGGAGAAGTTTGGATGAGAGGCGGACGCAAAAGCTTCATCCCCCTCAAAGGCCACCTTCCATCTCCTGGAAAAGTTGGCAAAGAGGGTTGGGGAAATCTGGAGGCTGAGTCAGACATTCCACAGACCCTCAGAATGCACCAGGGAGGCAAGCTGGGAATCGGCAAGGGCCTAGCACACCTCAAGCTGCCAAGTCTCAAAACTAAACTCACTATGCCTGCCTTCTGTCTGCCCACTCCAGGTGCAGTCCACCATCTTCACCACTTGACTGATCATTCCATAACCCAAATCTGACCATGTTACTGCCTGACTTGAAACCTTCCAATAGCTACTTTCCCCCACTCTCACCTCACCCCAGGGAGCATCCACATCCCTGAGCCTGACAGTCACAACCCTTCTCACTCTTGTGGTCCCTACTTCTCTCTGCATCTTTACCTCCCACCACATTCACCTCCAACCAGTCCCCATGGAACCAATAGCAGTTCCCCAGGGAACTGTGCTCTCCCACCCTCACTGGCCTATTGATCATCTTAGACTCAGCCAACTCAAGCACCATTTCTTGTGAAAGTTAGTTACTCTCTCCTTGGAGAGAACCAGCATCTTGTCCACACCTCTACCACAGCACAGGTAGAAGGAATTACTCTGTATCTACTTGTTGACATGACTGCGCCCCTACTTGGACTGTGCCTTCTCTGGGACCAAGGTCCCCATCTTACTCTTCTCTGAATCACCAGCATCTGGCCAGGACTGAGTTCCCAGTAGGTGCCAGTGAATGTGAAGTGGGGTTTCACCCGAAGAACCCATCATGATAAAGTAAGTGTTTAAATTATGGAGTACCCCACTGACTCTTTGATCTACCAATCTAATAATTGAATCTGCAGGTTCTTATCCCTTCCCCTTAGTTGTACTAATGCTTTCAGATTAATTTTCCCTCCCAAGGGGAAGAAAAGGCAGGCTCTGGATAACTGTCTTTAAGTTAGATGGTACAATGTCTCCCACGGACTAGGAGACTATATGAGAGTGTGCTGCCGTGGAAAGAGCACCTGGGTTCCTTCTCCAGGAGCTTTACTTTGATTCTTTCCTTTAACAATTTACTTGACCTCTCTTAACCTTAGTTCAAATGGGGTTCCGAATACTATTACCTAAAAGAATTATGGTGAGAATCAGGAGAGATACTCATTATAAAGCCCTACATAAACACTAGTTATTATTAGGTTTTTGAGATCCTAGTAAAGTAGCACCTCAGTGTCACGACACCAACAAATTGCATTTGTTATTTCAAACGACTAAAAGAAACAAACGCCCAAGACAATACTGCTCTTCAAAGTTTGTTTCACTAAAATGAGAACTTCTGCATGTCTCCGGCTTCTCAGGCCCACTTAAGACGACTATAAGTGAAGCCCCGCCTCCCTAAACTCTAAGCCTCGCCCCTTCCGTACCACCCTCTATGTTGTAGGGCCCTTCAACATTGATTGACACTTTTTTCCACCAATAGGAAGTGAAATTCCCATCAACGTCCGGTGAGGGGGGCAGGACTTCCTTGTTGTTGCTAAGATACTCTTGTTTCCCTCCTTGACAACTTTGGCTGGGGTGCGCTGGCTGCGGACCCGGCTCCGGCCCCCGCGGGAGCAGGTGAGGCCCCGGGGCGCGGCGGGCAGCCGGGTGGGGAGGGCCAGCCCGAAGAGGGGCCGGGAGACATCGCGGAACGGGCGGGGCCTCGCCCACCGCGGAGGCCTCACGTCAGTTTCCTGCCTGGTGGTCACCAGCGCCAAGTCCTCCC